TGACATACATGTCAACTGCAAACTGATGAAATAGTCGTTGACACATCAAAATATGATTTATTTCACCTTGACGGATCATGAGCCTGAATGAATAGAAATTCATAGCACTAACTTTTTTGTTGGTTTCAGCACCTGCAATCAAAAATTATAAATGTTTAAATTGTTACTAGGATGAATTGAATTTAAAATATTATTTAATCTTGTTCAATTTATTTACCTGTTACTTGATTTACCATTTTGATATTAAAATAATACCCATCTTCCCCCTGCCAGAAGATCAAAGGATATTGTAGTACATCATAACTCCTGTGTGTTTCAGATACACGTTTTAAATCACTATTCCGACGATGAAGCACAATATTTCTAGATTGTAAATTTTCTCCCACAATGACAACAGCCACTTCCTCAATGGTAGGTGAAGTAAACCTCCTTGTGCGTTCACCGGTAGGTGTTTTGTCAACTCGAATGATAATATTATGTCTATCAGATGGCATCCGATCCAATGCTATTTTGAACATGTTTACTAAATTGTTATTCTGATGAAGGAACATTTGTAATTCGTGGACAATGGTTCTCTTTCCTGTTGAATTGTGAGCACAACGATTATCAATTTCCCCATCTGAATTGCCCATAAAATAAATTTGTAAAAATTGACGATCTGCATCAGGTAGTGGTAACAGTAAGTGATAAATTTGTCCTTGTATCTGTAACTTTTAAAAATTTGTCCATTAATTATTTCCGATGTATGTATGTGTATATATATATTTTAGTACAAACTTGAATATTATAAAAAATATTCTGGTATAATACCTTGAAAGTGGGCATGAAATTGTCCTGAATAATATGTGTAGCGCCAAATGATGTCATCTGGAAACAGCTGTTATATTTCTGAATATTGGCCAAGAAGTGCTTAGAATCATTTCCAATCCCAGAAACTAAAGAGCGAAAAGAATCTGGTGGTGTGACCCATGGTGGCAAATTTACTTTGCCTCCAGCACAACATAATACTGTAGATTCACCAGTGTATTTTAACGCCTTGCAATATTTACATATTATTTTCATGTCCCATTCATTCGTTTGTTACCGATTTGTCGGCACAATAATAAATGGAGGAATATAATAATGGAGGAATGCAGCTCGATCAAGAATTACTGGAGCACGGCGTCAGATTCGCTCAATTTCATTATGTTTAGCTTGCTGTTGTGTTTGATGTGCACGAACTCGTTGCATTCTAAGCCTATCTACTACATTGTCACTAACTAAAGAACGCAATTCTGACTTAGCAATACGACTATTTTCTTGATCTGTCTCTGTATGGTCATCAGTGCGGTTAGCACGTGAGGTAGCTCTTCGCACGTTTGATTGCGACGACCTAAGTCAGGTCGTCTTCTCCTCGGCATGGTAAATTGAGAAAAATTATCGCTCATTTAGCAGTAAAGTGTCACTATCACAAAATATCACACACACACACATTAGATCCTCCAACGCGCACGCGAATTTGAACTTTATGAATTTCAAAACCAAGATAAGATAAATCCGTTCAGCCGTTCTCGAGTATCGATAGTCGAGTTCTCGATAATCTGACAGATTAACCTTTTAAATAAGAATGGGAAAGAGGTTTCCCAGAGCATTTCAACTCAGCCGTACGAACGGGATACTTTTGGCTTGACCTCCAGAGGCGCGCGTCGGCTCTTATCTATTTTGAAGGAATTGAACACTAAATTAAGTTCTTTATGCTAAGCTTTTTTTATTGTGAACATAAATGAAATTTCAATTCAACTTCTTCCCACAGCACGTCACACAGTTTTTAACTGTTTTTAGCATAAATTAATAAATAAATAAAATTGTTGATGACCGATGAAAAGACAAGTGGAATCAAAAGTTTCATACATTTCATTTTATTATAAAGTAGCAGTTTAATTTTCTATTTTGAAGAGGAAAGCAAGTTTTAAAATGAAAGCGTAAAAAAATTGTATTAATTGTTCTTATCAACAGAATTGTAAACCGCGTCCCACGACTCTTGCAGCAAGCAATTGATGAATAATTTTATTTTATTTTTAGTTAATAATCTACTCATACGTATATTATTTATTGTGTCAGTGTGCCATTGACTAATGTTACGGCAACAACATTGATAGGTCTTTCAATTCAATCAAACCTTAAATAGAACGTCCATTTAAAGGAATTGAACACTAAATTAAGTTCTTTATGCTGAGCTTTTTTTATTGTGAACATAAATGAAATTTCAATTCAACTTCTCCCCACAGCACGTCACACAGTTTTTAGCATAAATTAAGAAATAAATAAAACTGTTGATGACCGATGAAAAGACAAGTGGAATCAAAAGTTTCATACATTTCATTTTATTATAAAGTAGCACCATCGCTGAGGTCATATATTTACTTCGTACCGTTTTTATTTTTTTATTTTTAGAAAAGTTGGTGACTTGACGTTTGTTGATAAAAGAGTGCTTTTTTAAATCCAATTTTGTCGACGAAATTCGCAGCTTGAATCTAAATAAAACGAAAGAAAGCAAATGTCATTGTACAAATGTGATAAACTACGCGCACAGCAGAGCGACAACACATTCCCGCCCAACGTCGTGACGTCATTTTTGATAGCTCTATTCTTCTGGAGTGGAGGTTATAAATTCCTTGATTCGGCGCGGTGTGGTGGTGTTATCGTTCGGTATGCGCTCGCGGAAGTGAGCCGATTCCGTCTCGTTCGTTACGATAAGGGATAAGAGTTGTGTGTTATTTCTCCAATGCCATTGTAATAAACACTGGCGACTCGATCACTTCATATCTTGAGAATCAGAATGATTCTCAAGATGTTGAAAGTCGTTTGTCAGTGTGATGACAAACCCACACTCTCTTGCATAGAAGCATTTCGTTTCGTTGGACATTCAGTATCTTTAAATGACATGTCAAAATAGGAACTATTTGTAGGCACTATTATTAAAGTACACAGATAACACAAATTCTCTTATGTCTTTGATGTATGGAGTTAACACTTCTCTTCAGAGTGTTATTGAGATCTAGGAACTCTCGGTCACTGTTGTGACAAAATTTATAAAAAGGACGTCCACACCAACTTCGTAAAGGACAGCGCTCATAGCACTGAACATGGCAACCAAGAGCATGCATGGTGTCCACAGAGTGCTATCAAAACTAGAATTGTCGATTAATGCGGGAAACTTTTATGAAGCACATCAATTATATAGGACCCTATATTTTAGGTGAGTCTTTTGTGTATTACATCATTTCTTTACTTGCCCCTATTTTTAAGTTTACTATTGATCGTAACATAACCTCTTTGCGGACGTTTACGTATTAACTTTTAAACATGATACTCTAGATTAATTTCGTGATTCGTTCATCTTATAGATATCTGGGACAGAAAAAGTATGCAGAGCTCATAGATTTATTATATGATGGGGCAATATTGCTCCTGCATCACAATCAGGTAACCCTAATAGCAATTTTCCTTTTTAATTATTTAATATTTGAAGTACGTACTTTTATTTTAGGCAGGCCAGTCATCTACGGTCAGAATGAAGGATTTTTCTTCCTTTTGTTCATAAGTAGATAGTCTGAGTGATGTGGTAAACATTGACATTTTAATGTATTATTGTCATCTTAATTTGTTTTGACAGCACACAAGTGGAGCTGATTTAGCAATATTGTTAGTGGATGTGTTAACCAAATCAGAAACCGAGTCTTCAGATGATCTTTTTGAAAAGCTTTCCAGGTAAACAAAGGTTGAAATAATTTTTAGTAATGTCATTGTATTTAGAATTGATTACATTGTCTTCTTAATTTTGCAGATTATTTGAGTTAATAGGATCTGAGGTCCCAGAAAGAGAGACATATCTTAGTAACGCTTTACAGTGGTCTGCCAGAGTAACACAAGAACATAAGAGTGGACATCCATACTTTCATCAAAGTATAGCTCAGATATTTTGGAGAGGTTGGTGATGCATTCTGTGTTCATTTTGAGGTGTCTTTGAACTTGCTCTGAAGACTCATTACACAGATTTTTGTTGGTTGAGACTTCAAAGTAGTGACCTGGCCTCAAATCCTTTTTGATTGCTTTGCATTGAAGTTGTTTGTTTACAATCCTATTTATGTTTTCAGAGAAAAATTATACATTGGCAAGGTATCATTTTCTCCATTCAACTGATGGTTCTGGTTGTGCCACGATGCTAGTTGAATTGCATAAACAAAGAGGCTATGCTAGTGAGATAGATTTATTTATAGCTCAAGCAGTTCTCCAGTGAGTTATCTTAGAAAATTATTTCTTATTGTTAATGTTGCTTATTGATATTTGTAAATTCAGTATATTATTTATAATGTTATAATCAAAACATGTGTATTAGGTATCTGTGTCTTCAAAATAAGAGATCCGCTACAGAAGCGTTTAAAAGTTATACCACCCAACATCCAAATATTAAAACTGGACCACCATACATTTTACCACTTCTTAATTTTATATGGTTCCTACTGAAAGCAGTAGAAAGGTTTGTTTACATGAGTGAAATGCATTGTTGTTTTTTTTAATGAGTAATTTTATAGCATATTTACTTGTTTTTTTGTTGTTTTTTTATTTCTAGTGGTAAGCTTGGAGCATTTGTTGTTCTGTGTGAGAAATATGAACCCAGCATTAAGCGTGATCCAAGCTATACAGAATATTTAGATAAAATAGCTCAAATCTTCTTTGGAGTTGCAGCCCCTAAACCAAAATCACAAGGATTGTTTGGTATGAATATTAGTATGTGTGTGTGTATATATATATATGTGTATATATGTGTATGTATGTGTGTGTATATATATACACACACACAAATTAACCTTTTCTTTTTTCTTCTATTAATACAAAAACTTGATCTTAAATTTTTACATTCATTGATGCAACACAATGTGATATACATACACATAATTATTACTTCTTGCATGTAAATTCAATACGATTATTTAATGCAGACATTAATTAATTTGCAGGAAATCTTCTTCAATCCTTTCTGAGTGGTCTAGACGATTCTGATTCTGATGAAGATTCTGCAAGGCCTCCAGCCAGGGCTTCCACATCACATCAAATGGAAACTGATGAACAGGACTGATACAAAAGCAAAGCAATTTCTCTGTTTGTCCACTTTCAGGATTTATGCAGGATATACATATATATCATCACTTTACGTTAGGTTTGCAAGGTCTGAAGCGATAATTTGATGATGTTGAAGGAAGTTGTGAAACAAGGCATTTATAGCTTCTGTGAACCTGGTAAAAAGGATGTTAATCTATGAATAAATACACCACTCTTTGGACAAAAATAGTGGCATTTTTAATGACTGGCTATGCATTAGTGCTGAGAAGTTGTGTATGTAACTTTTAATATAGTGTTATACAGTTCTTCATTGGGAGACATTGTAATTTGCAATTCTTTGGTTTCAAGACTTATTAGTCAACCATAGTGCAACTTCAGATAAGTGTCATGCTTTGTCTTGAAACTTTACTCTGCAGATATTACCTTAAGTTAAGTGTGTACTCAGGATTATCAAAATCAGAATCCCTTTGTAATGCTTACTTGATTAAGTACATTGCCAGTGATATTTTATGATGAAAAATATTATATGGAAAATGCTGAATATAATTTTAAGGGGCAGTTATTTATTAATAAAAAAGCAGCCCTTTGCTAATAATTTAATCATGTATTATACAAAATCTAAATTAGAGCATTTTTGCAATGACATGTTTAATATGAAGCTTGTCACTCCTTTGTACTGCATTTATAATTCTGAATGGAATTTTTTTTATTGTTGTGATGATATTTTTTTGTTAATACAAAAGTTTAATCTTAATTGTTTACATTCAGAAAAGAACACAACATGCTTGATTCTTTTGTTGACTTTGTACTTACTACAAATCAAAATGCAATGAAATTTTTACTGTAGTAGAAATTTGTAAATAGATGTACACAAACAGGAGTAAAGCACATTAAAATACAAAAGTAAACTAGTATTACAATATGCTCCTATTTTAAAATAATTTTTACATTTACGTAAAACAGAACTGGATGTTGATGCTCATCAATGAAATTTTATGAAAAGTAAACCACACTCAATTCCATTTGTATACACTTTATTTAGATGTAATTTTGATGTTAATATCAAAATGTTATTGACTGTTAATAATCTTGTAAGGGTTTCCTGTGCTGGATGCAAATACTGCTGAGTTGCATAGAATTGAATTTTTCTCTCTGAGATATGTGCATGTTTCAAGCAAAGAAATGAGGATAACGATAAAAATTAGGAATTTGTTTCTGATTGCTGTATGTTTATACAGTTGTTTTGACTTGCTTTTATAGAAACCTTTTGTACAAATTCGTTTTAGGATATTTCAGATCTTTAAAGCTAATATCCTTTTGTGACTAATTTTTGTTAAGTCAATCATCTGGAAACATTATTTAATATTATCATAAGATTCTTCGTTGAAGTTGACTGAGCAACTCATTTAGTACATGCACTGCATTGAAATGTCATAATGGGAAGTATGATAACTTATCAAGATAAGATTGTGATGAGACCAAAATAGACCTGAACTTTCAATCACCAAATAATCTGTACATGTACAGTTGCAATATTATACACAGTGAAAGGTATTTCTGAGATGGGCTGACTTTATCTCAATGTAATGTGAATTGGTTAAGTAATGTTTGAGCATTTGTGGATCACATGAGCAAATTTGGTAGTAGGGGCCATTTTAAAAATAAGTTTGCAAAACTTATCTTCTTTTATCCCCCTCCTCTTTGTAACACTGCAATTTCTCCATGAGCTAAAGGTTCTATTTCACTTCTTCCCCTTCTTGAGTTAAATAAAAAAACTTTGTTTCAATTTGTAGAAGTCTATCAATTCTCTCCTTTCCCCCTCTCTCTACCACTCATTTTCAGCAGAGTTTCAGGAGCATGTCTCAAAGCAAATGTATTTTTCCGAATGGTCCCTTATGGAGGTTGTTGCAACAAAGCTGTGAAATTTTGCACTAAATATACTGACCGAGATGCAGCAAATAATTTGGTAAATAGGCACTTGTTTCATAGGCAGTGTTTAAATTTGAAATTAATCTTTTGTACATTTGAGCTACGCTTCTTTGTGATTAAATCATCTTTGTTGATGTGTTTTTATAAAATTTCAAGTGCAGTTATAATTATTGTTCGAGTAGTACATGGTTTTCATTTTGGGATAATTTTACATACCTTAGGTTAATGATGTATTATTTCATAGACATTTATTTATTTCATCTAGACAGAAAGGTCAGTGGTGTACCAATTATTTGATTTGTGGTAATGACTGCAGTGCCATCTCAGATTTAAGTGTTTACATGTATGATGCCTATCAGTAAAACACATATTTCTAGGATTTGTTTATGAACATAAATGTCAGAAGCCTGAAAGATGCACAACTTTCTTGTGGCTTAAGCTGTGGTGAGAAGAATTTGATTTTTCCCAGTAATGTTTGTGTACTAAAATCTTGTAGATATCTGAAGCTAACTGTGAAGTTGTATTAGTATTGTGCTCCTGAACAGTTGGACTGTTATTAAATGGATGATTTAATCTCATGAGCATCTTTTATTTATGTATTTGAACTTTTTTTTTAAGCATAAGCGTAAAGTACGTTGCTTGTGCCATTTAGTGGCTTGCTGAGTTCATTCTAATTTTTCTCCTGTGAACAATTCACAACAGAACCCGAGTAGATTTGTTTTATAATGTATTTTAGAAAGGAACTGAGGTTGTCATGTATTAACTAATATGTACTAGCTAGCTCCTCTAGCTAGCATGTACATACATTTTCAAATTCTAGAGGCCAAAGAATCCAAAAGATTGAAATCATTACACTTTAACAGATGAATTCAAACATACAAATAAAACAAAAAGTCTGAAGGGTAGGGTATCTTTGCAGATGGAATAAAATGTACTCTGATAAATGCTAACATTTATGTATGTGTTCAGTTTCTGTAGTAGAGTGCTGGACACACCACAAATTAAATGAGATGATTCATTTGAGAGGAAGATAATTTGTAAAATAACTGGCTGAGTGTAAGAGATAATTATCTTCTTCTTGCGTCCATACCATACCCCTTCTTTGTGTCCATGTTTCTTTCATCCTTTGGCTTTTTTCTCTCTTTGGTCCAAGCTTTTCCAATTCTACACTTTGGTACTTCTTCTAAATCAATCTACCATGATTGCACTTTAGATCTAAATGTATCCCTATTTTGAATGTCTTCTGTGATCCCTGATAATTCAAGGTTCTTTTTAATTTTCTTGATCCATTTTATCGTGTCAGTTGCTGCTTTGCTTCTATTCTCATAAAATTCAACTATTTGCTTGGCAACAAGATTAGGATTCATTCTTTTGATGTGTTCATAAAAATTTAGTCTACATTTTCTGATATCACTCTAAATATACATGTATTGTGTGATTTTCTTTTTTGCTTTCAAGTTCGTACTGTTTGTGAATTTTGGACCAAGAATTTTCCTAATGATTTTGCATTCCTTTCCCCCCCCCCATATTTTCTGTTCAAAATTAGTATTTCTTAGCCAATAAAGACATTCTGGTTTTATCACTGTATTATAGAGTCACAGTTTTGTGTCCTTTGACACATACATTGTTTATTATAGATATTTTAGGTGAGATGATATGTTGTTTCCATTTCTTTTTCTTTTATTTTTTTTTTACATTAGATTCATTGGCCTTTGTTTCAATTCCATTTTCCTGAATTATTTCCCTCTAGGTATTTACATTGTGACTCATAATTTTGTCATATTTTGTTTCAATGAACTTAAATGTGTCTCTAAATTCTGTTTTTCAAATGATATCTAAAGACCAACACTTTCTGCCAATTCTTTAAGCGAGTTCAATCTGTGTTTGTGCTGTTTGAATATTTCTTGCCAGGATTGTCAAATCGTCTTCAAATGCTAAACAGTCTATCGCTAATTTTCCTCTCCCTAATTTCCTCCCCCCGCAATTTTGAGGATTATGTTTTGTTTATGCTATTCAGTTACTACTTTCTCAAGAATACAATTAAATAGCAGAGGTGAGAGTTAGTCTCCTTGCCTTACCCCCGTTTTGTTTTTAAAGAGGGTAGCAATACATCCCAGAAATTTAACTTGGCGTGTTTCCCGGCCCCATTCGATTTCTAGTACCGTTTTCATTTCGCGGACTCTGCGACCTTGCCCGTTGAAAACCGTTCACGTTTCTGCTACTGCTCGGTACCTCGCCGTCGTGTCCTTGACTGCGCGTCTTCCCCGCCTTTGCCCGTCTCGCCCATTTCCGCTGCCATCCGTCCTGCCTCATGTTGTTGAATGCCTCCTTGATTTTTTGTTCCCTGCTTTCGTTTGATGATTGAAACTGCCGTTCTTGAATGACTGTAATCGCGTTGATATTTGATTTTGTTGCCTTCGGTGTTTGGTTCATATTTTCAATGCTAAATCGTAGTAGCTAATAAAAACTTGGAATTTTTTCTACGTCTTTTACATCACGCTGCCGTAACAGTTCTGTATGCTTAACGGGAAATTCTCGTGAGGATGTAAATTATTTCTTCAATCCGACACGGAGGGGCAGAACACATTTTTCAAAGCTGACGATTTTTCGTGTGCGTAGTCTCGCTTGTTCCGCTGAAAGTAGGTAATACCGCGCTCGTTAATGAAATTCTAAAATTCATTTGCTGTTCTTCCCTAGTAACGGTCTAGGAACCTAACTACAAATTCTTCAAACGAATTTGGCAAGGGGCATAACGTTTCTTAACCAGACTTTTGCATTGCCTTCTAGCGCTTGATGTAAATAATAAGTCTGTGTTGCTTCGCGGACATTTGAAAGTAACGAAAAAAGCTCTGTAAAGCTTTAATGGCAACGCAATTCGGATTCTCCATTTGGATGGCCTGAGAACCTGAGTGATGCCAGGCACATTGTATATGACTCCTCGGCATGCTCCTCCGCCTTCCTATTTTAGTTCTGCTATTTCCCGCCATTCCTGAATCTTACTTCTGTCTTCTCAAGTTTTTTCTGTATTACTGCGCCTTCGACTTTCGCTTTCGCATCCTGCACTGATTTCGTAAACCTCTGTCAGAATTCTGTACTTTCATTCTGTATTTGCCCAAACGTGCTCTATTCTCTTCATTCTTCTTTTCGATTCCGTAGATATTGAATCAATTCTTCGCCCCGACTTCTGCATGCCTTTCCTCAATTAACTGATTCATTATTGCTACTTGCAGCAGCGATCGCTGCCCCGAAGTTTTCGTCGCATTTAACAACTACTTCTGACATCATAGACTGTTGGAACTGCTCGAAATTTTTCATGAAAACCTTTGTCTGGTCGTCAATTTCCTTCCGGGCTAATTTTTGGGACTGTCTCTTTTAATTTCTGCTGCTAGTTTTATTTTTGCACTTGCTCCCTGATTTTCGCGACTGGTTCATTAATTTCTGCTGCTAGTTTTTTCTGACCTTGCTCCTCGTGTTTTCGCGACTGTTCTTAATTTTGCCCTGCTAATTTTTTGCCCTTGACTTTTCTTACTGTTGTGCGAGGGTTCGCGCAAATATTCCCTAATAACGCCTGCCATTAATGTCCTCATCGAATCATTCTTCTGTGTGATTGCGATGGTTGTCTGGCGTAGTCTCTGCTGATTCAGTGCGATCCGCGCGTCGGCTCACGTACTTCCTCTGCTCAGTGCAAACCTAAATTTTCTATCCTACGAAGTACTTCGTCCCGTCTCGTCGCCCTCCACGTGTCTCTGTCACTCCTAGATCTGACTAGGTTCCCATATTCCTGACTACCTGCCATACTAACGTTTTTGCGTCTGGCCTTGTTCTGTTTTACTGAATGCACTTCCCTTCCAAAATATCAACAATGCAATACACTACAAAAACACTTCATTGTACACAGAAACACTTGGTGAAAGACACAGTACCAGCCTAAAATGCCACTAAATGCTGCGTTTATTCGTGTCTAGGGTTTTTTTAATCGATTGCTGCCCCAGGAATTGGCACCAAAAATCTAACGTACCCACCTACACCCCCAACTTACCACCTTCACAGTAGCAGGATGACCGTAAGCGGGTTTCAAGATTTTTTGGCTCGTGAAGCGAGCTTAAAAATCCTAGGGAGCAGGATCTTCAGGTGCGAGAAAGGTTTGAACCCTTGACACAATAAAATCACAACAAAATGCACACGAACGCGCTATAATTTACCAAAAAAAAAAAACTTTAGTGCATAGTTAATGCAGAAACCAGGAAATTTAGAATCACACTTTTACAAAGAATAATCAAAACACAGATAGAAACCTTTACAACACCACAACTCATGTGAATGAACAATAATTTACTTTCAAAATTTGATACTCTGACATAATTACCCTAAACTACCACTGGGAATTCCCTTGGAAATAATTATATCTAAATTTGTGCTTTCTAATACATTGCACGTGAAATCAAAAATTCAATTTACAATCTCTCGCTTCCAAGATATTACATGTAAAGAACAGAAGTGTGCAAGTG